AGCAGTAAACCTCCCCTTTAACTAAATAATAAACACTTAAAAAGAAAAAAAAAACCCACCACTCTCCTTGTACACATAAACACATGCACGTACACATACACTCACACATTCTAAAACTGTAGGACGGCAATATTCCTTCAGTCAACCTGCATTCAAAAGCAGTAACACTTTCTTGTTCGGCCGCAGCCAGAGTGGAACAATGAAAATGATGCAAATAGTTTTAAGTTGAGACAGCAGCAAAACAGCTGCGCTCTGTATGAGCGAACGTCAATGAGCGAATGTCGGGCAACCCCAGCACTGGAATCCTCCCCGCTACTCAACAGAATATACTACACGTCTGAAACGACATGTGTAACGGAGGCCAGCTAGTAGTTGCTGTGCGAGTAAACCTCACTCCCCTGATCTCAATAGGCGCTCTAGCGACAGACGCTAGAGGCTGCAGTCTTTAGCCTCCTTGTTAGAGCGCCTGACTCTCATGCCGGAGACCCGGGTTCGAGGCCCGCTCGGAGCGGGTTGAGTGGGACCCGGGTGTGAGGGGTTACATTGGTGCCGTGACCCGGATGAGAGTGAGGTTTAGGGGGGTGAGTGTAACGGAGGCCAGCTAGTAGTTGCTGTGCGAGTAAACCTCACTCCCCGATCTCAATAAGCGCTCTAGCGACAGACGCTAGAGGCTGCAGTCTTTAGCCTCCTTGCTGGAGCGCCCGACTCTCACACCGGAGACCCGGGTTCGAGGCCCGCTTGGAGCGGGGCGAGTAGGACCCGGGTGTGAGGGGTTACACATGTAATTAAAAGAAATATCATAGAGCATGACGCATGTATACAAATAACCTGCATACTTGGGGTGCGAGGAATCCCAGTCACGGCAGTCCAAAGGGAAAAATCAATCCGCACGTTGTAGAACACAAGGCACTTTGATTCACCCACTGCTCTATAAGGGTAGGATAGACGCTACAAAAAACCACGTTCCTACCTGTGAAGACACTGCAGACACATCAGGAATGAAGATCGCTTTTTTTAGACTTAATTTAGACGGTGTCGGCTCCTCGCGGTAGTGCACGGGTGAGGGGCGTGGCCGGTCATCTGGTGTCCGCCCTGACCTGTGCTGGTGACATTGACTTTGAATTGCTGCCTATTGCAATTTAATATTGTCACCCTCTATAGGTTGCACTCTCCCACATATAAAGCTATTGTAACTGCGTGTATTTCCTTCGTTGGTATAAGTACTAGTTGGTGGGTAATAGACAAGCAATGTACAGTTTTCTACAATCTTGCTGACAATATTTCTTTAGTCATTCGGCAGTCTTGCAGTCTGAACCCACTGGAAATCCACACTTACAAATCCACCCAGCTTCTCCATGACTACTCGAAGTATCTTCTGTAAAATTAATGTTTTGTTCGTGTCCTAAGATTTTTAACTCAAATGTTTGTCCAGCCTCCTGGATGAGTTCTGACCAATTGGACACTGACTTTATTTTAGAGGTGCCATTTTTTTCCCTTCTATTTGTAAATCATGCGTTATCTGTGATCTCTTGACTTTCCAGCTCTGGCAGAGAGTACACAGAGTACAGTTTAGGCCTTGTCTACACGGACACGGGTATTTTTATAACCAGAGTTTTACCCTCCTGCGTTTAAAAAAACCCCTCCGTCCACATGAAAACGCAAAAACAAGACAACAAGCTGTCAAGAGCATGCAACACCAGCAGGCGGCGATATAAACCTAACCGCAAAGCCACGTTAGCCAATCAGAAGCCGTCAGCGGTGCAAAAACTCCGGTTTCGATGTTTACACGACAACATTGCAACCGGCGTTTCAGAAAATACTCACCCTGGCAGGGGTTTTCAAAAATGTTTGGTTTCAGTGTCCTGATACTCGAACCACGTAAAAAAAAAGTCACGGTTATAAAAATACCCGTGTCCGTGTGGACATGGCCTTAGACATGATACCTATTATACGTTCTTTCCGCTGTACCAGCTCTCAGTTTGAGTGTTGTGTATGAGTCCCGAGTCCCTCTCCCTCACTCCCACCGGCATATATACCGTCTCTCCACACCAATTACTGCAATCAGACACAGGTGTTCATCATCTGCGCTTGACCAACTAACTCACCGCGCAGCTTCGACCTTTCTCTCCCGCTACAGACTTCGCAAAACCACTCCCCCCTCGCCATATATATATAAATATATAGATTGTAAACATAATACAGAATTAAGCAGTTGAACTGTTTGATAAGTCCTTCAAGAATTGTTTTGGGAGTCTCAATCTCTTTGGTTTTAAGAGATTTCAAACCAGGGGTTGTTCAAAGGTCCTTAAGAAGAAGGCGGTCTGTCTCACCCCCAATTTCCACCAACTGCAGAACGGCTGCGGATCGGCTCCGCTACGCGTCGGTTCCGTGCTCCGCCGTCCTTCAATACCTACCAGATCCGGATTTGTTGCGGAACGGCTGCGGCATGACTGACAGCTGAAGTCACGAGGACACACAATATCTCGCGAATTTACTCATGATCGCGTGATATAACAGGATGTAGTTTATATAAAAAGAACTACAAAACCCGCAACAGATTGTTTCCATCCAGAGGAGTAGAGGGGAAACAACTCAGTGCTGACCTGATCTCTTTTTTGTGTGGAGATTATTGTGATTCTACCATGGCTAAGTACAATATGTATAATTATATAATCAACTTATAAAATGCTAAATGTTTATTTTGGGTTCCTTTTTGAATCTAGCCTATTGGGAAAGTAGTAGGTTGTGTAAATAAAGCTAATTGTTCTTGTTGGAAAAGGAAAAAGTAAATAAAACAAAATTGGTGTGGTTTAAATTTTACTTATGAGTGACGATAATGTTTTGGTTTTGTCTCTTATTTAACCCAGCAATACTATTACGTTTGAACGAATCATCTGGACGATTAATTTGTGTTTCGTTCGCCCCTTAAATCCTACATAGGTTACCATTGTCTGAAGATAAATTTGAACTATATTTTCGTTCCGTAATGGTAAATGGTAAATGGACTGCATTTATATAGCGCTTTGGACTGATTACCTCAAAAATGTACATACTTACACAACTTTGATGGACTTTATTTAAATTAAATACGTACACCTCTTTAGATATTGCTTAACTGACTATCTTAATTGATTATAGCTAAGCTACCTTCTTATTTGATTATAGCTAAGCTACCTTAACGTGACTGTTGTTTTGTTGTCATTTTTGTTTCATTTTGTTTAGTTTTTTGGTCTTAGACCTTTCACTTAAAGGTGCCATGTGTAAGAATTGAGGTTAAAATATCCCAAAAAAAAATTAGCTACACACATCAAAAGAATGATATGAAAGAATAAGGTTGATGATGTCATTAAAAAAATAACAAGTTATAGTGCTGCAGAGATATTAACCTGAATAAGGATGCTAAATTACTAGCCCCGGCCCCGGTATGCGGGCGGGCAACATAACCACCAGCCAACTGCAATACACGAGTAACTCGCACGGCTTGTGGGTGTACTTGAACCTGTGAAGTACAGCTCACTACTACATTTCAGTTCAGGGAAGAGTTCAAAAAGTTATTGGTTGAGATTATGCATGAGGAATACATTTTGGTAAGTAGCATACTGTATCTTTCAACAGTGTGTTTTTTTTACCATTGGCTTGTAGAGATGATCGGTTTACGTGCACTAGGGATCTGTCGTGTAACATTTACAAGCGCCAAAACAGTATTTATTGTTTGAATTGCGTAATAAAATTGACAGAATCTGAGAGCTGAGATTTTTTTTTATACATCATAACTAACCTGCTCTGTCTAGTCTGTCGATCTCGGTGTCCACACAGTGAATTCGTGAGAGTTGGCAGCTCTGAATGGCGCTAGCTTGGTCAACATCAGCGAATGCTGTCTGTCAATTTAATTCAAACTAACAATAAAAATGTAATATGAACAAAACGAATACCGTAAAATCTATCCGTAGATCTATCTATCTATCTATCTATCTATCTATCTATCTATCTATCTATCTATCTATCTGTTTTACTTAACCAAAACTGTCTCTCATATTGAAAACATTCAAACTTCATGCTTTTAAAACTTCTTCAAACTTTCTGGTTAGGCTTTTTAAAGAAAACTTAACGTTTGTCTACAAACTTTTTTTAATCTAATTGTAAAGTGTTACCTTATTATATGGTATACATCATGTACACATGTTACAAGTCAAGTGCAACGCTGCATGATTTAAGCAAATAAGTTAGATAATGGCAGAAAATTAGGCAAAGTTATTCATCAATGACAATGAGCAACCAAATTCGGATACCACATTACAACTTACAGTTCTTGACTTTTTTGCGAAAAAAGTGTGAAGTGTTTTTGGCGTTTTGAATTCATTTCGACCTTCGACGATGGATTCAGTGCGGGTGCGAGCACGGGCGTGTGGTCATGCACGAGCGCGAGTCACTGATTACCATGGCAACGTGAAACTGTGAAAGTCACGTGTAGATACAGTAGATAGACGATCTTTTCTCTTTGAATTTTTAAATCTGTATCTATAAATACACATTGGCTTGCGAAAACCTCAACATGTCGTGAACACTTCCCCTATGAAAAAGTGCGGGGGACAAATTTACATTTTATAAAATGTGGGGGGGACACGTCCCCCGCGTAATCTACGCCCTTGCGTCTATGAGACGACCTTTATAATTTGGTGTTGAGATGTTGTTCATTGAGTCTCTAATCTCTAAAAATCTCAAAATGCTCCTCGTGAAACTGCGGTCTTCCAACCTTTTACTATAGTGTCAATTGATTTGATTAATATGCGCGAGGGAGAGAGCAAAACAGTGCTTGTGTTGTTTGCGGCACAACTCACTTTCTGGAGGTATACTGCCCCCATCTGGTATGGAAATGGAGTATGATTTGATTATTTTTTTGACAGATGGCACCTTTAAACCTATGGTACAGGTTCCGCAAAAAATGGGCAGGTCAGTACTATTTAAATAAACAGTACTCATTCTAGAGACCACAGCTCATCTGTGAACATATACTGTACAGTATCTTTAGGAAAGTGCATGAAATGGAATCAGACATCTACTATGTAAACTTTGGAAAAAGTGATAGTAAGGGGACAACTAGCCCACCACAACTTCCAAGTCGCCCCAAAGATCACGGAAAAGCTAAAAAAAGCAGTAAGTAATACATTTATTCTGAAGCAGAGATGGAAGTCTAAATGAGAATGAGAATTGATCGAAGAACTACGAAATGTTACAAAAAATGTTGCATAAAATTACAATCATTGTACTTTAAAAACAATACGACAATGTTTACATGTGAAATGCATTGTTATTTTTTTCTCTTTACTTTTTCCAATGATTTTCATTAAAAAAGAATGCAGAAGAACACTTTAAAAAGCCCTTTCAGTTTCTTCTGAAGGTTGATTTTAGGTGTTATATCTTAGATTGAATGTTTATTAATTATTGGTGTTTGTGTGTGTGTTTGTTTGTCTTGTTTGTTAGGAGAAAGTAGATGTTTAGTGTTGATGGCAGTGGGTCTCGTGCTAATTTGTGCTCTTCAGCTGGTCAACAGCAGTACAGGAGTACTCCAGTTCATCATGATCACAGAAGAGAGAGACCTGTTAAAGACTTACATGAACACAGTTGAAGAGTTCAGTCAGACTATCAAGAGCTTACAGGACAATTACAATGATCTAATTAATGAAAAAGACCAACTGCAGAAAAACTTCAGCTCTTTGAGTCAGAAGAAACTGGAATTAGAAAACAAAGTCACATCTCTGAGGGTTGAGCTAAATGAAGCTTATGAAAGAAGTTATCAGTTGGGTTCGATTTTCATATCCGTTGAGTTAAAGAACTGGTATGAAAGCAGGCAGTACTGCAGGAATCGAGGCGGCGATCTGATCATTATCAACACTGAAGAGAAGCAGGTGAGTTTTAGTGAGTGTCTGTTAATGAATGAGATGAATCACATTTATTCTTGTTTTTATTCACACACAGAGTTTCATAACTACATTAGTCACTGAGGGCGCTTGGATCGGTTTATCGGACATTCAACTGGAGGGCAAAATGACATGGGTGGATAATTCAACATTGAAACAAGGGTGAGAGCTAAAAAGCACTGTGTGTGTGTTTGAGTATTTTTATTCTTGTTTTAAAAAAATCCTATAAATAAATTCTGTTTACAGAAAACTACTTCTTTTTAGCTTATTTTACATAGTGATTCAAATTGATTCATGGGTGTTGGTGTTTTGAATAACCTAAAATCTGATACATGTCATTTAGGTTTTGGGAATTAGGTGAGCCGAATAATTCAGGAAACGAGGACTGTGTTGAACGGAGAGCTTCAAGACCTTTCCTGAACTGGAATGATATCCCTTGTTCTTTTCTGAGACAAGGGATTTGTGAGAAATAGGGTTTATCCCATTTTTTGTATTTTCACTTGTCACTTTATATAATCATTCACATTACATCATTTCTTATTGATGTTTAAAACTTTTAAAACAGTCTGTTACAATAATTTTATGTAAACCATTGAGGGTTATTTTTAAGCACGTAAACACCTATTCACTGACTACTGTGGTATTTATAAGATTTCATGATTCATATAGTATCATAGCAGTGTCTGTTGTGTTTCCACTGGGTGCCCACTAGATGTCCCTTCCTTCCTGTCTCCATTGATCCTGGAACCATGTTTCCCATAATATTTGTTTGTTCCCATCACTTGTGATTGCACCCAGCTGTTCCCATTTATGTTGTTAGTGTCTGCGCATAAATTATTGTATGTCACTTGTCTGTAACACTTTATTTTACGACCCACAAACAACTTTGTAAGTAGACCGAAATTACGGTGTACGTTTCTGTAACCCACTGATAGCAAAATTACCCTGTAAAATTGCACAAGAACATATTTTGCCAGAAATGTGATGATAACTTTTATATACAACAGACGTACAATTTTTGCCTGGACTATATATTAGCAGAATAGGGACCTGTTAGTTTTAAAATAATTACATTATAAATAATTTACTTGTATATCTGCTTGTTACCCCTTTATTACCCAAAACATAACATATTGTTCCCTTATACCTACACGGAAGTACGCTATAATTACAGAAACGTACACCGTAATTTCTGTGTAATTATGAAGTTGTTTGCAGGTCGTAAATTAAAGTGTTACCCACTCGTCTACTCTAAGGTCTGGTTTCAAGTCTGTTCTCGTTTTTGTTCTTGCTTGTTTTGTTTATTTGTTCTCTGACTGATTAAATGGTTTTCGACACTGGCATGGATGACTACGGTTCTGATTATTTGAGTGTTGCATGGATGACGATTATTTGGATTGACCTGATTAACCAACCCGTTCTCATTCTCAGTGCGTAATATACTTGCGCTTTGGTCGCGTCCTTTGGCGTCTACTACCAATGCACATGGCAACCTTTAGCATCAATATGAGACGCACAGAGCTTTCCACTAACTCCAATGTAAACCCATCCACACAGGCTCGTTTGAAAAAAAGTTTGTTTGAAAATCTGCTCGATCTCTATATGGGTAATGTGATGTCATTTTTATTAAAAAAAATTAAAACACATGTCTCTATTAAATAAAAAAAAAGATTGATAAACAAGTATTTAGAATGGGATTAAATAAGTACTTTGGGTGTCTTGTTAACAGTGTTCGAATTACGGGGGAGCTAAGGGGAGCTCGGCTCCCCTGAAAAGGACATTTAGGGGGAGCTCTAAAACACTGTCCATTTTTTTCAGTTCCTGTAATAAATGATGATATTAAAATGTGTCTGTGTTTATTCGCTCATTACATTACTGTTTCCGAACATCTGTCTCCGCTAATAAATGCAATGCTGTGTTGCCTGGTGTGACCATCCATGCGTGGAGGCGCTGCGCTGAAATTACTACGTTTACGTTACCGCTTGAACTTCTCACTGAGTTGGTATTTGTTAGTTTAGCTTCAAGTTCAAAACAAAATTCATTATTAGGGTTTTTTTTTTTTTGGAACACTCTGTGGATACTAATATGTCACAAAGAAAGCAGCCAAACCTTAGTCAATTTGGATTTACAAAACAAACGAAGAGGAGTGATGATAGCGCACCAGCTACAACTAGGTTGCCGGTGTTGGCGAAAAGTTGCTGCTAGTGATAGCACCAGCACTGAGGATAGCGAGACTTTTGCGCCAGAAACCACCGCTGCGACTTGCAGCAGACCAGGTGATCATGCAACGCCTTTAAACTGGACAACAAAGCAATGGGGTGAGTGGAGAATCAGGAATGGCTCTACTCTAAAAATCAGAAGTTTGGATGTACAGTATGCATGGAGGCAAAAAGCCTGTTGCTCGCCGAAAGAGCAACAGGAGTACATATGTCAGAGGAATGGATGAATGGAGAGGTCTGCAGCGAGTCACAGAATAACCTACGGAAAAAGATTTACAAGCATCGGGACAGTTTGGCACACAAAAGAGCGGTTGAGATTTCGGAGATGAAGGAAAAGGATGTGCTCCCAAACAAGGTGCTTGAAGTAAATGCTAATTTAATGCAAGAAACAGCTACGTCTTTCAGATCTGCTTATATAGTGGCCAAGGAAAAAATGGCCAACAGAAAGCTCCCTGCTGTTATGTCTCTTCAAAAACTTAATGGTACAAACGTGGGCACAAATCAGACCATGCTTGTGCTGAAACAATCTTATAAATAAACATATCACCATTGAAATGAGAGCTAAATTTGTTCCAAAAAAATAAAAGAACTGGGGTCACGAATCAGTATCACGATAGATGAGAGCACAGTTCATGGCCTGGCTTATATGATCATTTATGTGCGGTGTGACATGATAGGAACGGGGGAATTGGATAATGTTTTTTTAGATATCGTTGAGCTTTCAGAAGGCACGGATGCCGAATTGATGTACAAAATTTTGAGGAAAAGCTTGAGACAAGCGGGACTGGATGATGAGTTTCTGGGAAAAAATCTCATCTGCATTGCAACGGATGGAGTAGCGGTCCTGACGGGCAGAGTCGGTGGACTCTTCACTAAACTCAAACAAGATTTCCCCAAAGTTCAGTCAATACACTGTCTAGCTCAGTGTTTCCCAACCCTGTTCCTGGCGGCACACCAACACTGTGTGTTTTCTTTGTCTCCCTAATCAAACACACCCGATTCAACCCATCAGCTCATTAACCCACCTGATTATGGGCTGATGGGTTGAGTCAGATGTGTTTGATAAGGGAGACAAAGAATACACGCAGTGTTGGTGTGCCGCCAGGAACAGGGTTGGGAAACACTGGTCTAGCTCACTGACTTGAGTTAGCTGTCAAAGACTCACTTAAGGAAGTAGCTGGATGTAACCAATTTGAGTTTTTTATCTCAAAACTTTACGCCCTCTATAACCAGTCATCAAAAAATGCCTGTTTGTTCCAGGAGGCAGCTACAAGTTTGAACATGCAAATCCTAAAAATAGGTCAAATCTTTACAATTCGTTGGGTGGCTAGTAGTGTTCGCACTGTCAAGGCAGTATGGAACGATTATCCTGCACTGGCGCACCAATTCAAAACAGCCATGGAAGACACATCTCGCTGCGACACAGAGAGGCAGAAATTCAGGGGCCTGCACAAACTCCTTACAAGCACAGGTTTTTTGGCTGATTTGGCATGTATGAAGGATGTCCTGCCAGAACTACAAAATCTGTTGTTAAAACTGCAACGCAAACAAACATCTTTAGTTGATGCAAGTTGCCACATTCAGCAGACCATTGACGTCTTGACAGCCATGAAAGCAAGTGGAGGAAAATCCACACAAAAAGCAGAACAACACATATCGACTGGCCTGTTCAAAGATGTTGAGCTTTCAGAGAGCTGGCAGAAGATAAACCGTCTTCAGTTCAATCGGTCTATTATCAACAGCAAAGAGACTGTTGAAGAGACTGCCCGAGAAGAGAAGAGACTGCCCGAACCGGACCTTGTCCAGATGCTGAAACCGCTGGATAAACGCTTTTGGCCACAGCAACATAGCGCCCGTATCCTATATGGGGAAACTGAAGTTCGAGCATTGGCAAAAACACTGGGAGAACTGGCCGGAGAGGCTGTCGAGGAGTTCCGGGACTGTCTCGCTACTGTGCACCGACAAAATTATCCTGTACTGAGAAGAATCCTTACCCTCCTACTCGCCGTCTGAGTCTGGAAATATGCAGCATCACTGGTGAAGTAAGCTTTTAAATCACTGTCTCACTACTGTGCACTGACTAAAGTATCCTGTACTGAGAAGAATCCTTACCCTCCTTCTCGCCATCTGAGTCTGGAAGTATGCTTTTATATCACTGCTCCATTTCTGACCATTGAGAAAGTAACCTGTATTGAGAAGAATATTTACCTCTCTACTTACCGTCTGAGTCCCGAAGGAAGCCGTATCATTGGTGGAAACTAGCTATAACTGAAGAAGACCTAGAGAAGACGCTGAAGTACATCAACTGTCGTCTTTCTGTCGCGCACCTGTGGTGTCGGCTCCTCACGGTGGTGTCTGGTCAGAGGGGCAACCGGTCATCCGAGTCCGCCCCGTCCTGCACCGGTGACACTTACACTTGAGTAAAATTTAGCAAGGGGTATCTGTACTTTTACTCAGGAAATGAAGCTGTGCCTATGCTTTTAAAGACAAGTTTACAAAAGAAAAACTGTTTCAATCTAAAACACACATGTATACACTATCAAACCCCTATTTTCAAAATTAGAAAACATTATATTCCCTGTACAAAAGATCGAACTCACCATTCCAGAAAAAAACAGCAAGACTTGGATATTGTCTGATTTCAACAATAGGTTTTGTTCCACATGACCTACGGTTGGTTAAGGTCATTCATCAGACAACAGACTCTATTTAAATTAAAACATACTATGTTAAAATGAGGCAAAACAGCTAAAAAAACAAAGACATGTTAACAACTGCATCTCAGTATTTCCCAAACAACCTGATTCAGTAGTATTGGACCAAGCTAAGGAGATTGTATCCACTATCCATCTGCTTATAGTTTTTTTTGAAACAGGCAAACCTCTTTTTGGAGACCCAAAGCACAGTAGCTGGTCCGACTTCCTCCAGCGTGAAGTTCTACACATATAAATTTCCAGGGCTCGTACCGGGCATAGTAAATTTAGCTTAGCTTGCTCATCCGACACATGCGGTGAAGGATGAAAGGCCTGAAGAATAATAGACCGTGCCACATTTGATGGAACTTTAGGCACATATCCAGGTCTAGGATGGAGAATAGCCTTTACTTTACCAGGAGCGAATTCTGGGCAAGAAGGAGCAACAGATAACGCCTGCAGGTCCCCAACTCTCTTTAGGGACGTGATGTCTAGCAGAAATGCTACTTTAAAAGACATGCATTTCTCCGAAACTTCATCCAAAGGTTCGAAGAGTGCCAGGGATAACCCCTCGAGAACCTCAGCCAAATCCCACATGGGGACTCTGGACTGGATGACAGGCCTCATTCTCCTTACTCCAAGAAGGAAACGTATAATAAGTGGGTGTCTCCCCAAAGTATCTACCCCTAAAGGCGTGTGGAAGGCAGCTATGGTTGCCACATATACCTTAAGCGTAGACAGGGAGAGCCCGTCAGAGAATCGACACTGGAGGAACTCCAGCACTGAAGCCACTGGGGAGTTAACTGGGTCCACCTGACGTTCTCTGCACCATAACTTAAAGACATTCCCTTTTAAGGCATAAAGTTTCCTCGTTGAGGGGGCTCTAGAGTTTAGGATGGTCTCAACAACCTCAGTTGAGTGACTGGCATTTAAGAATTGGTCCCCCTCAGTGGCCAAACCCACAGTTTCCATAGTTCGGGCCGAGGGTGAAATATCGTGCCCTCGGCCTGAGAAAGAAGGTCCCTCCTGATCGGTATTTGCAAAGAACGAAAGCATCTGCACGTTACTTTGATAGTGCGAAAGGGGTTGCCCCTTGTGGAAAACCCCCTGGTCCTGAGCCACCACTGCAGAGCCCTCTTGTGCAGCAGGCCAAAAGGAATCACGTTTCCATGCCGCCGCCATGAGGCCCAAA